TGTTTTCCAAATTTCTTGGTATAGACTAGTGAACACCTCCAGTGCTGCATCAGTTCATTGAAACATTTCAATTAACGTTCTGCCAATTCCTGGAGATTTGTTTGTCGATAATACCTTCAACACAGTTTGTACTTCCTTTTCAATACCATTGGTTCTTGATCATATGCTAACTCCTGAAATGGTTGAATATCAACCAGTTCTTTTTGGTATATTGACTCTGTATTCCTTCCATCTTCTTTTGATGCTTCCTTCATCATTCAATATTTTGCATAGAATCCATCAATATTGCAAACAGGCTTGAATTTTTTTCTTCAGTGCTTTTGGCTTGAAAAATGCTAAACATTTTCTTCCCTTTTGATTTTTTCACTCCACATCTTTGCACATTTAATTATAATATTTTGTCTTCTCAAGCTGTCCTTTGAAATTTTCTGTTCAGCTCTTTTATTTCATCATTTTTTTCCTTTCACTTTAGTTACTCTTGTTCAAGAGCAAGTTTCAGAGTCTCTTCTGACATCCACTTCAGTCTTTACTTTCTTATTCTGGCTTGTTAGTTACCTTTTGCTTTCTTCATATATGATGTTCTTGATACCATTCCACTACTCCTTTGGTCTTTGGACATTAGTGTTCCATTTCAAATCTGTTCTTGAGGTGGTCTCTAAATTCAGGTGGGATACATTCATGGTCATATTTTGGCTATTATGAACTTGTTTTAAGTTTCTTTATTTTCAGCCTAATCTTGCATATGAACAATTGTAATGTCTTCCATAGCCAGCCATTGGTCCTGTTTTGGCTGAAAATAATGAGTTTCTCTGGCGTCTCTTTACACAGATGTAGTCAATTTAATTTATGTGCATTCCATTTGGTGAGGTCCAGGTGTGTAACTGCTATTTACGTTGTTGATAAAAAGGTATTTGCAATGAATAAATCAGTGGTCTTGAAAAATTCTATCATGCAATCTCTAGTGTCATTTCTGTCAGCAAGGCCACACTTTCCAACAACTGATTCCCCCCTCCTCCCTCTACCCTATTCTTTACAACTTTCACATTCCAATCACTAGTAATTATCAGTGCATCTAGATTGCATGTTTGATCAGTTTCTGACTGATGAAATTAGTAGAACTCATCATTAGCTTTGGTGAATGGTGTGTAAATTTGAGTAATAGTTGTATTAACTCTTTTAAGTATGTAGATATTATCCTATCACAGACAGAAGTACAATTTGAGATAGATTCTAAAACACTTTTCTTGTTTTTTGGGTTTTTTTATGATGAATCTGAAGCCATTCATCTTGAATTTGTTATTCCCAGTATAGCAAACCATATGGTTTTCTGATTCAAAATAGCCTATGCCTGTCCATTTCAGCTCACTAATGTCTAGGATATTGATTTTTTTTGTGTTACATTTTATTTTATTTTTGAAGATTCACACTTGATACATTTCACATTCTGATTATTAATTAATAAAGTTTGCAACTGTTATTTCACATTTTGAGTCATGTCCCATCAACATATGAAGGTCCCAAAATGTTTGTTCCATCAACATCAGTCATTAAGGTTTACTCTAAGGAGCCAACTCTTCCTTGGTCTGATTTTGAGCGACTTCTCTTCCACCACTATATCAGCAAATGTTCTTCTGCTATTCATAAGGTTATCAGGGGTTAATCTCTCAGAAGTGGGAAGAAAGAATAGGTGCTCACTTGGGAGTTGGAGGAGTAGCCACACTAAAAACATGAATAAGCAGATTTTTGTATTTACAAAATTACCTAGGGCATAGCTGAAGGACAGAATGAGCTGGTAGACTGAAAATAAAAAAGATGTTTTGAGACTTTTTATATGCTTTTGCATGTAAGAAAGAATTATTACAAAAATACTACAGATACGTTGGCCCCCCCAAATCCTCCAAAGTGACCTCAGTAGTTATTTGGATGAACTTGCTCATGGACTGATTGAACTAGTAGCTGTTGCATTGCACACTCAGAGCCATAGGTACTTCCATAGAACCTTGCAGTTCTTTCCATTTGTATGACTGTTTATCTCAATTCTAATGTCCCTGATGATATTTTGTAGTCTTTGATCAGACCTACTCCCTATGGTTCTTTCGGTTCTTTCAAGTAGATTGGCTGTTCCTCAATTCTAATGTACCTGATTATTTTATAGAGTCTGATTAGAATTTCCTTTGATAGTCCCAATGGAAGCATCTTCATTGAAGGGGCTTGGAGGGGGTTGGTCAATTTTGATGACTAGGAGTTCTGGGATTCTTTACCTCTCTGGAAACTCACAAAGAAGAGCTGGGAGTGGGGAGACAAAATCCCTCATCCTCTTCTGGGATTTTTGTGAAGTCAAAGGAGAAAAATGAAATTCTAGTCACGTCCCTTTTTCTGTGGAAGAGTGGACTTGTCACACCCAGGCAACGATGCACAGATTCCAACAAAAACAGCAACCAGAACATGCCCACAGGGACTCACTGGAGAAAAACAGCAAAGGAGAGCCTGCCCTTCTATCTCTGACTGGGCTCAGAGGCAGCCAGCTCAGTTAATAAAAACCAAATGTGGAATACTAATTTAGTTTTGGATCCCACATGTAAAGAGGGGCATTGTCAAATACTGCCTTAGACTGAAGAGCCCACACCTCCAGGAAAAGAACTTGAAACTCTGTCACACAGGGTAACAATAAGGACACCTCGAAAGTTAAATGTAACTTGGAGAACCCAAAAGACTTCATGGGAAGCATCATAAATACTGATGTTTTAAGGTTAAAATATTTAAAGAATATAGAAGATAGACTAGGTCCAACTTGTCAAAGAGAGAAGAACTAGTTAAATATTTGACTAAGCAGAAACTGCACTTTCTGAAAGTAGAGCTCTTTGAAAATGGAATGTATTGACTTGGAAAGCAATATGTTCTTTAACTGGAGCTAGCAAAACTAAGGTTCTAACACTAACTGAGAAGAAAGGAGGGTATGTTTTTGAGATGGCAATACATCAGAGGAGTGAAAACTGTGGACACTGAAATCAGGTTCTAGATGACCTGGACTGAGGGCACAACTCTGTTTTTGTAAGACCTTGAGAACATTTTCTTTGACCTTCAGAAAGTCTGATCATAACCAAAGATATGGCCATTCCCATTCTATTTGTGAAATGGATATAATCAGGGCTGTGGGTTAATGTGCTGGACTGCAAAGTAGGTTTGAACCACAAGGTTGAGGGTTCAAGCTCACAGCTGGTCCTCGGAAACCCTACACATGGTCACTATGGGTCAGAACCGACTCGACAACACCTAACAACAACAACAATATAACATATCCATGCCATTATTATACAAATTAATGAAACATTAATTAACACTAGTGGTTGGCATGTTAGAATACTAGATTTTCACTAGTTGCTACCACTGTTTTATCTGAGTTTGATAAATTGGATAGTAAAATAAAGTGCATAATTTCCTCCAATTTCTTCAGTCCTCTGGTTCTGCAACTAACTGTGGGTTCCAACCCATCAAAGTTCCTGGTGCTTTCTTCCTATATTCCCTGACTGCCCAGAGTTTTCTATTTCAGCATTGTTCCAGATCTTACTAAACAGCGGCCTGTATCTTCACCTCTCCTACTTCATTCTCCTAGACATAACCACAAGCATACTTTCCTACATCCCACTTCCTAGCAATCTTATTTTCTACAGTAACAACTGGCTATTTTAGTAAATTATGTATACTAAGGGTACCCCGTGCAGGGTCGCTATGAGTCGGAACCGACTCCACGGCACATAACAACAACAACAACAACAAAGGGTACTATATTAATATAACAGAGTCCCTGAGTAGTTGTTGTTGTTGCTGTTAGGTGCCATCAAGTCAGTGCCGACTCATCGCAACCTTATGGACAACAGAATGAAACGCTGCCCAATCCTGAGCCAACTTCACTATTGTTGCCACACTTGAGCCCATGGATACTACCACTTAGCCAATCCATCTCATTGAGGGTCTTCCTTTTTTTCTCTGATCCTCCACCTTACTAAACATGACATCCTTAGGCAGCAACTGGTCCCTCCTGATAATATGTCCGAAGTATGAGAAACCAAGTTTGGCCATCTTGGCCTCCAAGGAGCACTCAGGCTGCACTTCTTCCAACACAGATCAGTGGGCACTTTCAATATTCAATGTTTATGAGTTCCATTTCATTTTTGACAACTTCCAATATTCCCAGATTCATACTTCATACATTCCATGTTCCAATTTTAAATGGATTTTTACAGCTGTTTCTCTTCATTTTGAATTGTGCCCCATCAGCAAATGAAGGTCCCGCGGGCTTTATTCCCACAGGTTTTACTCCATTCGTGTCATCACAGTCAACTCTACTTTGAGGAGGCAGCTCTTCCCCAGTCACATTTTGAGTGCCTTCCAACCTGAGGGGCTCATTTTCCAGCACTATATTTAACAGTATTTCTCTACTATTCATAAGGTTTTCAGTGACTAAATGTTCATCACTCCTTCCTAGTCTGTCTTTGTCTGGAAGCTCATCTGAAACCTGTCCACCATAAGTGACCCTGCCAGTATTTAAAATACCAGTGGTATAGCTTTCAGAATCACAGCAACTCACAAGCCACCACAGTACAACAAACTGACAGACAAATGGCGGCCCTGAGTAGTACAAAAGTTCAATTCTATTCAGAGACACCTAACAAAGGCCTGGTGATCTATTTCTTTAAAAATCAGTCAATGAAACTCTATGGATTACAAGAGTCTGATCCTGTTGTGCATGGGAGAGTCATAAGTCAGTGATGGAAGGGGGTGTGTGATTCCACAACAGTTTGCAACAAAAACATAGATCGTGCTTAGCTTCTCTAGAGAGAAAATTATGGTGGTCATTTGGAACAAGGGAGAATACAGAGCAGTCTCCTGACAATCTGTCATGGGAGATATTTAGGTGTAGATGGGCCCTTCCCCAGTTCATCCACTGATTTTCTGAAGAACCTTAAACCTCACTCTGCCCATTTTCTCTCCTACCCAAGAAAAGAGCAGAATTATGTGCAGAAGAGCTGGAAGGATGTGCGTGTGGGAGACTTCATCCAAATGCAATGCAACGAGATCATCCCAGCAGATATCCTTCTCCTCTTTTCCTCTGACCCCAGTGGGATCTGCCACCTGGAAACTGCCAACTTGGATGGAGAGACAAACCTCAAACAAAGACGTGTTGTGAAGGGCTTCTCACAACAGGTAAGATTCTCTAAAAAGTGGTGAAGACAAAGGTAAAGAAGAAAGCCAACTCTATCGAAAATCAAACTTAACCAGAGGGTAAAGGGAAAGTAATGAATGATTCCATTTCCCTGTCTCTTTAGGTATAGATAATCTTCCCAACAGCCCTCTATGATTGATAGTATCCCCATATTGCAGATAGGAAGCTGGAGCTAAGGAAGGTTATGTTGCTAAAGTCCTCAAAGTCCCTAAATGGAACTTGGTCTCCTAGTTTTCTCACCTTTGCTGTCTTTGCCACTTTCACTAAATCATCCAGAGTGTGTGCAAAAATGCAAGGCAGAATCTGATCAATGTTAAAAATTTAAAGGCATTCTAGACCAACAATAACAATCTACTTATGGTTTTAGACCCTGTGGCCTGTCCTCTTGATTAAAGGCTTTCAATTTTTTTATTCTAATTCACAAAAAGAAATATTTAATAAACACACATGCCCATGACTGTGTATGATTGTGTAAAATGGAAACCTTAACCTTATAACATGGCAAGGCACTCTGAGACTTTCTAATCAGTTCTATTTCATGTTTTGTTTTGTTTTTTAAATTTCTGAGAGCATTGAAACTTACATTTGGTTATAAAACAGCCCTGACACTTTTCTACTCTCTCGGGCAGTTGTTTCAATGTTGTTAAGTTTCAACCCTTCACTTTTCTTTTTGTCTTTGGCAGCAGCTGCCAAACCTTTTCTTGTATATTAATTAGTCAGATAGTTTGGGATTTAACTAGAATGAAGAGTCAGGTGAAAGGGTCATTTACACTCCACTGCTATGGACCAGCCAATTTAATAACTGCTCTCAAACTCCAACCCTGAATTCTCACAGGGTACTTGGCATAATGATTTTTTTTTTTTTTTTTAATGGGTAAATTCATATGTGAAGGGAAGGAGACTAATTTGAGCTAGAAGGTTTCCAGAGTTCTCTATACAGTTTCAGTTCCTGATTCTCTCCTCTCACCTTGCTCAAGTAGTTTGTTTGTTGTTGTTTTTTTCCCATTTCTTCATTCAAAATAATGAACTTTTATTGAGCTTTACCAAAAGTTTCTTCATAATTATTTAATTTGTCCTCACAACAACCCTGTGTGACAAGTATAATTATTGTGCCCATTTTACATGAAAGAAAAGTGAAGAAATGATATGTGAAGTAATTTTTCCAAGACCGCTGAGCTAGGAAGTGTTGGAGCTAGAATTCAAAGCCAGTTTTTCCAGAGTCTCAGCCCTTAAAGACTACAATAGCTCATTTTCTCTTGCTGTATTACCTTTAGCTTACCCAGAGCTGCATAGTCAAAGCCTACATGTATTTATCATCATCAGTATTCTTTTCACTTATAAATAGCAGATGGCAGGAGGAATGAAAGTAAGTTCAGTCTGCTCTCTGGGAAGGAAAAATTTAAACATTTCTTTACTACCATGCCTCTCCCCTTTGTCCTTAATGCATAAAGACAAATATGGATACAACTCACTTTTTAGCTAATTCTATGTGGTGCTATAGGTTAATGCACGGGACTACAAAGTAGGTTTGAGCTGAAAGATCGGTGGTTCAAACTCACCAGTTGCTCCTTGAAAGCCCTATACAGGGTCACTATGGGTCAGAATGGATTCAACAACACTTAACCAAAACAACATGCAATAGTATATCCCAAATGGTTGAACAAAGGTGTTAATGAAAGTTAAAAGAAAAATAAATATGGCAGGGTAAAATAAGATCAGTTGATAATAGGTTATAAGTTTTCAAATGCGGGTACTGCTAACTTCTCAACTACTGTAATAAGTCCATGTACACTGTGAATCCCAAAAGAGCACAAAGGGTCAGGTATAGGTATGTTGTTATTGTTGGTAAGTGCCATTGAGTCCGTTCTAATTCATAATAACCCTGTATCTGAGGAGCAAGTGGTGGGTTTGAACTTGTGGTTCACAGTCCACATAATTACTGGAAACTGGAATTCAAGCTGGGAAACAAAGTCAATAACTATAAAATATGGCCTTAGTAATAGAAATGGTGTTGGAGATCGTGTGACAGAATTTTAAAAGGCCAATGGCTTATTCATTGCAAATACCTTTTTTTTAACAACAAAAGATGACTGTACACATAGACCTCACCAGATTGAATACACAGGAATCAAATTGACTACATCTGTGGGAAAAGCTTAATATCATCAGTCAAAGCACTGCCAGGGGCCGACTGTGGAACATATCATCAATTGCTCACATGCAAATTCAGACTGAAGCTGAAGAAAATTAAAACAAGTCCACAAGAGCCAGAATATGACCTTGAACATATCCCACCTGAATTTAGAGAGTATCTCAAAAACAAATTTGATGCATTAGACAATAATGACCAGAGACGAGAAGGGTTGTTGGATGCCATCAAAAACAGATCATCAGTTTTACATTCAACAAATCATATATTTTGTTTCATTTCCATGACTTCAATTGCCTCCATATAACAACAGTTATCTCACATCCTCCTTGATATTCTTATTTCCATTCTGCCCTCCTTCAGAGCCATCTCAACTTTGTTCTTAAGTAATTGCTGCCCTTTAGATCTGGAATGATAGAACATTCCGTGGTGAGCATACCTTAATAGTGTTGTTGTTCTCCTTTATACCTGTACTGGTGTGGCACTGTGGGTTAATGCACTGGACTGCAAAGTTGTTTGAACTTCAAGGTTGGCAGTTCAAGCTTACCAGCCACTCCTTGGAAACCCTATACAGGGTCACTATGGGTTGGAACCAACTCGACGGCACTTAACAACAACAACCACTTGTATGAAACTTGAGCCACTTGGATGAGTTCAGTTCCCAACCTTAAGGGTGATCCATGAATTTTTTTCAATACCTCTCATACTCACATAGCTTTTTTTTTTTTTTTTTTCCTGGCCTCTTCCAACTATTGCAGCTACTTCATTGTAGTTTATTTACTAATTCATATACTCAACAAATATCTGATAAAGTCCTCCTGTTGTCAGATACTGTGCTGGGTATGTGTGCATGTGTTTCTTTTTTGGTTTATCAGCAGAGATAACACACAGTGATTAAATTTTCCATAAAGAGATATGCATAAAGTTTCACACACTGGAGTTTACATACTTCTTTGTGAACCCTTTTGCCAAAACAATGAGGTACAGCTGAGTGGGTCTCCTGCCACCTTCTCAGTAGCAAGAAAAACATGTACAGAAACAGTCCCTTACAGCACCACTGTGTATCTGATGGCAGCTAGCCACACTACAGGCATCATGCCATCCACTCATTCATTCACCAAACATTGATGGAATACCTTCCTTATGGCAGGTGCTGGGGGTCCAGCAAACAAGAGAGACACCAGCTGAGACTTTATGTTCTAACAGGGAATTACAGAAGCATCTGTTAACAATTACACAAATTATTCATTAGTTCCTTTTACTAGTATAAATGACAGAGGGGGAAAAAAAATTCATCCTTTCCCAGTATTGACTTGACTTGCCAAACTGATACCTTCTAAATTGGCAAATGTGACATGGTTTTAAGATTACGTTTGGCACCATCTCTGAAAAAGAATATTTGTCCACCTGAAGGAAAAAAAAAAAAAAGACAGACTTTAAGAAATATTTACATATCACATTCCTCACTCAGTTCTCCAGCTCAATATGTCTACTTTTGTGCAAATCACTGAAGGGAGAAACGTAAAGCCAGGATTCTTAAATATACACATGGTTTCCTCACCCAGAGCTAGAGAAGAAAGAAACAGTCCCTCTGTAACAGATTATCTTGGAAATAACTATGATCAGGAAGCAAGAAAGTTATCAAGTGCTGGTAGCTGTCATTAGTTTTCAGATAGGGTTCGTGAAAATCAGGAGGTAATTTCATTTGTATGCCAGGAAGAAAAACTCAGTCACCAAGCTCAGCAGCTGGAGTGTGAAGAATGTTAGGTTTAAACACTTTTCCAAGCTTGTAAATAAAACACATACACATACATAAATAAAATAATAAAAATTTCAGTAAGTATTTTTTCAAGGTTGTAAGGTACTTGCCATGTTCTGTCTATGTTTAGCCTGGACTGACTACCCTGAAACATCTAGTACTCGACACAGCTGCCTGGCAGGCACCACAATGTGATTTACTGCGGCTCTTCTCACTGTCCTCATCCCTGGTTTTGGAGGTTGGGAGGTGGTAATGGGAGTAGTCTTCTAGCCTAAAGTTTCTATAGAAACAGATTCTGAGAATTATAGAAAAGCTAGTGATCATTGACTCAACTCTTCATTTACACAAAAGTATTCATAGTAAAATTCAATAAATGATAGTTGTTAATATTCAAACACCCTTGCAGTCTCTGTTGAAAGAATTAATTTGGCTGAGTTTTTCTTTTCAATTGACAGAATATTGTTGAATAATAGTTTCCTAATGGCCAAGCAGGAGTTTCACAGTGGTCTAAAGCATGGTTCCTGTCCTCAGAGAACTGACAACTGTTGTTGTTAGCTCCCAACAAATCGATCCTCAATGTAAGGCAATCCATGCATAATGAAATGAAAAGCTGCCATTCCTATGATTGGTGATTGGTTGCAACCTTGTGTTTCAAAGCATTTGCATTGACAGATACTCTTGCTTTTTTTCCTATTCTTAGTCTGGAAGTCTCACTAAAACCTGTTCAACAACATAACACGAAACAAGCCTTTATTGACAAGCAGTCAGTGAAGTTGCTTATGTGACACATTGGCCAGGAATCCAACTATAGTCTCCCACTGGAAAGATAGGAATTCACAAATGCCTTCAAGGACATACAACTTATTGTTGTTGTTACGTGCCAGTCAAGTTGGTTCTGACTCATAGCAACCCTGTGTAGGGTTTCCAAGGAGCACCTTGTGGGTTTCAAATGCCAAACTATGGTTAGCAGTCAAGTGCTAATCCTATAATACCACATAAAGACCCTTTTTGACTATAGAAAAATATTTTGTTATGCTAACTCTCTAACCCTCCATCCTGGAAGTAGTTGTCTC